AAATGAGAAAAATGTACACCCCCTCTTGTAACCTTTGGGGTCTGTATACTGTTACATATGATACCCCAGCAGACCTATTCTGCTTGGATTTAAAAAATCAAAGTTTGTACAATGCTAATTATTTTATATGGATGAATAATTAAATACTTCAGTCTTGTACATCACAACTTTCAATACGAGCACCGTGCTTGTAAGAGAAATGGGCGTAATACGACACATAACCTCAAGTATCGTATAAGGTAATACAGAAATTATATCCGAAGTTCTAGGCACATTCTGCACGCCAAACTCTTTTTATATTAAACAAAACAAAAACAAGTTCTGATTTCAAAGTATAATGTTTTATACAAATGTTACAATACTGTGCCGAAGGGTTGTCATTTGCACGCATTTCTGTGATTTGACAAACGTAAACAGAATACTGTACTATCAAATGGCAACCCTGGTTCAGTACCACTACTGCCACCTAAATGGCCTAGAGCTCCTACTAGTTGCTAAATTTTCTGACATAATTCTTCAAACTAACTTCAAAAGAAATGTAACAGAAGTAAAACGTATTCCTGTTTATACAGATTCTTTGGCTTGAATGCGGGATCTATTAATAATAACAAGCGCTCAACACGATCACTCTACTAAAAGCCTATAAAGTCAACAGTTTGGGGAATTTAATGTAAAATCTGTTTCGTGAAAGATTTCATTTCTGACAGAAGTTCCACTTCTACGTACCATTCACAAAGACAGAATTGCGGAACGCCTGAACAACAGACTAATTTTCTTAAGCACGCCATTAAAATAAACCATCGCAAGATGGATGAAATATTGAAACATTAAACACAATTAACAATTAAAGCAAAGAACACCAGTGACTGCAACAATATCCATGCCAGATACAGAATGGTAAAAAAAAAAAAGTGAACCGAGCTTTCATTCAAGATGTAACATTAATGACATTGTTCTAATTGACATAATTGTTCTGGGCTACAATTTTTTCAACCTAGATGCGCCATTAAGTGTCCACATGGGCAGATAACATTCACTTACCTTCCATTCCATTCTGTGATTTATCAGTGGATTTAAACCTGACGTCAAGCACATAGTAAAAAAATAATGGCCTCCTAACTGGATAAGCAGACGTAAACCTGATTCAGCAGAAATGAGGACAGTCATGAAATCTGCAAGGAGCCAAATGGTCATTTTCAATTTCTGGCCACTTTACTCTCGGCAAAATATATCCAGCCTCAGAACCAGTCCAAAAGCAGTGGCAACAGAAACATTCCTGCCCCTACCAGGAATTGAACTCCAGCAATCCAGCTTGATTACACTTTGATAAAATCTGCTTGAACTTAAATTTTAAAATAAGGAAATGCCTATTTTGTAGATTAAGTTCTTAGAACTTCAGTTTATCCACCTGAAAAACCACCGAGCTGGCTTTTCGACGCAGTACCAACTACTGTCTGGAACGATGTGGAATGAGAGGCAGGAAACATAATTTGTTTTCAGGCCAATTAAATTACAAAAAAGGTACAGAACTTCAATCAATGTGCCACTAAACAGCTAAAGTACTTCAAGTACTGCTCAAACTTGACAGTTTGTTCGTGTGGCTCGGTACGACACTTCTGCTGTCAGCAACTGAAACCCAAAATACATGCTGCCACATAAGCAGGGTATTATCACAAATGTATTCCTTAGGATTTATAATACTAAGTATTTTAACAATAGTCATAGCATCAGGTATCAATGTCCTCAAAACAGATAAAACTTGTAAAATGAAAATGCTACAAATAATATACCTGAAACCACCATTATTTAAAAATGAAACACAATGCATTGATTTAAAATAATTGAAGCAGCAGGTGTCTACAACAGGAAAGCCAGAAAGTGTGTAAACACACATAAAAATTGTCCTTAGGGTTATGCAGCATTTCAAGGTACTTCACACCGAACTTACGTGCATATTTTCAATATCAGACAGAGTTACTGACCAGAAGGCAAACATCGACAATTAAAAGATTGAGCCAAGAAACTCAGTCTCCGATAGAATTACATCCAAAGTGAAAGAAGTGTTTTTTAACATGACCTGTCCAAAAGTGTCGGCCAAATCCCAAGGCACGAGTTGTGAAAATTTTGGCAACTGAATATATACACCATACTTAATCTTCCATGACGTACATCACAAGTCACAACATGGCACTTTTATACAACAAACGGAGAGAAATTGTTTTTTAAAGTGTTTGCTGGGATAACACACTTAATATGAATGCTTTGCTGTGGTAATAGGGAGCAATCCAATTTTTTTTAAATGATCCACCAAAATAAAAATAAATGATGGCAGTTCAAATGCGCACGCCCCAATTTAAAATTTTTATGCAGAACTGTGCATTAACCTGAAAAATATTTTGAGTGACCAGGTCATCCATTTGCATTTGACAGGTCTTTACTTTGGGTCTTGGCCCTACGGTCAGCTGAGATTTTTGCTGTTTTTTTCAGTTCCTCCACACCATTGTAGGAACAGAAAGACCGTGAACAGTTCTCAATTCATCATCACACTGATCCTTTTAATGCTACATAACTAATTTAATTAAAATAAAAAGTCATTAATTAAACCAAGAATCAACCGATCTCACAGAGCCGAAACCGATAAGAGACTTCTGACTAACGTTCCTATGGAGTCACCCGCTAATCTCATCAACTTACTCTATCATGTTGAAGATAATCTTAAAAACATCACATATACATTATATACTTCACTTTCTTATAGTACACTCATACTACTGAGCATGTCATATAGAGCAGAACACAAAATTCTAATTGGTCCCACAGAGAAGATTGCCAATTTTCTGTGTACTGTTCCATCATGAGCAATAAACAATATACACACTACAAGGATTGTATAACACTTACTTCTACACAATAATTACATTATGTAAAGTGACTGACAACTACTAAATTTGATCTCAGAGCAATTTAAAAGCAATTCACCAATCATACAAAAGAAATACAGCTTTGTAATTCGCCAAACAAGAAATCAGATGGCCACATGTACAAAAATTATAATGAAAATATTAACCTGAAAAATGTAATTGTACTGGGAGTGTATGATTTAAGTAGGATTCAGTTTATAAATAACCTCTACACCCCAGAAGAAAACACAAGAAGCTAGAGAATCTGTTCAACGTGTAGCTTGCAGCAGATAAATTATTGCTACTGTAAAAAAAAAGTTGGATCGACCTGTCCTTTTAATCAACTTGGGTTTTCAACTATGAAAATACTAACACGAAGATACAATTCAATTTTAACAGAAAAATACTTACATGACTGCACAGAGAAATTGTGACCGAGTACAGTACGTTTTTTCATATGTTAAATTAACTACCAAACATGTATATTTCTTTTGTAATCTATTAAATCACTTACATAAGTGAAAGTAATACAAGACCCTGAAATGGTTGGACAGGCCTGGGCTACATGATGACTGCATTTCGCAGAAAAGACGTTTATCATTCTTTAGCTTATTCAAGAATAGAAATTAAAATTATTTCATCCCAAACCAATTTATCAAAAGAAATTTTGATTTAGAAATCATAACTGAGTAGCAAACCTTTAATATTTCATAAAAATTTTGTAAGTGGGTTCTAGAACCATTTTTCCAGCAAACTATCAAGTGGTCATCTTATTTCCTCAAACTGTAATCTTTTGGGTCATTACAGTGTAGTAATGCTGGTGGTTACTGATGTTCGGGAGGAACATACTGCCTCCACTTTCTTCAGGGCAATATTCTACACTAAAAGAGGCAGGATGTACCTTCAAAATTTTGGTAACCACTGACAAGACTACATCCAAAAACTCACTGCTATGAAGACCTAAAATCTCATCTTACTTCCTGGTACGCACACGTGCCACAGTACGTAAAAACAATGCACTACGTGGTCTAACAGCTGATATGCTCTCAGAACGAAGTAACTGCATCTGTATCAATAAAAGAACTAATTTCTTCAGTTGTTTCGACACTGTTTTAATTTCTGTACTATTGTGCCCTTATTATTTATTCTGATAAATACAGTAAACTAAATCCTGCTAAACTCAAATCAGAAATTAAGTCAATTAGATTAAAAAGAGAAGAAAATATGCAAAACAAACAAGGTACTAGCTGAAGAGCTGTAACTGAACACAGAAAAGTCTCTCAGATATGGAGTAGGAATTCAAAGACTGACAGCTTCCAGAAGGGAAGTGCAGTATTTCAAACCACGGAAAACTTGGATAAGGATTGCAATGCAACACCTCCTCTTATGTAAGGTTCAGAGTTTTAAATAATAATAATGGCAATATCCATAAAAATTAAATCCGTGGCGTAACAGCTCCAGAGAGCCAAAGCCGACTAACTGGCTGCTGGCCTCACGTTCACATGCCTAAGCAGAGGTGAACGATCATCCAACCAGATATAGGGTGATGTGTGGTCAGCACAACGAACCAGCTAGTTTTCATGACTGGATTACGCTACTTATTGTAGCTCCCCAATTTTCTGATGATGCTGGGTTGGCACCGGTCCCATACACTGGTCGAAAATCTCATGAGAAACTTCTTTCCCCGAGACTCAAGCTAGCGCGCATTCCGTATCACCGGTCCGAAGCACGATGCCTTGGACCGCGCGGCTATGGCACGGGACAATCACTCTACATTATAATAAATAAATACATACAATTATGAATATATGTATTCCAGCAGCTACATGCAGCCCCATTATGCGACATGTTAAATATATTTAATTTGTCACACAGATCAGAAGGGCACAAAAGAGATCTGTTTTTACACGATTTACAATAGAAATAAAATTCTGTGTTAAAAATGGATATATGAAGTTTCATTCTGAGACCAAGAATTATATTCACTGGAAAAGGTTCAAAAATGACAAGTTATAATATAATGCAAAGTTGTCAATACTGTGGCACACGCAGCCTATGCTCACTATAATGTACTATATATATATATATATATATATAAGAGCATAAAATTATAAGCAATATTTGGATTCTGTCCGTGTTATCATCTACAAAATTCAGGAGAATTACGTAAAACTGAAGAACATCCACCAAAAAAGTGGTTTGATAATGGAAGTTTGAGATGCATACCTAAAGTAAATAAAAGATAACATTCAAAAGACAAATCCAAAAAAAAGCTTAATAATTCTAGCCCTGAGATTAACATTCAGCAACAAAATAAAGGCAAAAAAATCTTTACCCAAAAATAACTCTACGTCATATACACATACAGCAATCCCATCACCGGATTCTCTATAGGTTTGTATATTTGTAACATTTCCTGTAGGCAGTATAGTAAAGAAATAGGCTCCATCAACTACTTTGTATCTTATACTCGTCGCCCCATACTCACAGCATCACACTTCTCAAATACTTTGAGGAGTGTTTCCCACACTTGATGCCTACTTCACGACCTTCTTCACACCGTCTTTTAAGAAGTCTTCAACAAGTGACGGTATATCAGTCGAGATGCATTCGTCATCATCTTCAATCTGAAACGCAGAAATGGAGACAAACATTTCACATCTGGTGGCATACTCATCCACTTTTAGCCGTGTTCACAACTAAACCTGCAGAAACGCACCTATTATATTTCCTGTACGTATCCGCATGTAAAAACTTGAGAATCACAGAACATATTTACATTATAGAATGATGCTGACCACTCACCCCCATCTGGTGCTGAGGTCAAGGAAGAGTAGGAGCTATACCTTCGCTCCCCCCAAGTGCCTGCATAGGCATGTAGCGGGATTAAAAAAAGGGTTGTTATACTAAAATCTATTGACACACTGATATTCTGGTTCAAACATGATAATGGGAACTTTAGATGAAGACCTACACACCTTTCTGCACGTGGAAGTAACTGGGCGAGGAATCCCCAAGTTACCTCATTTACCTGGGGAATCTGCAGCCAGCTGTGCAACATAGGAAGAATACTCCATGATGATGTCATTGCCCAGCTAGACAGGCACCACACACCCAAACAACTCTGTCATTGGAGCCATCCACAAAGGTTAAATAACAAATTCTGGTGAATGCACCAGAATAATTTCTGAGTTAGGATTAAAGATTATTCAGTCTCAAATATTCTTTTATATTTATTCAAAAGAATTATCTCCTAAGAGAATGAGCATTCCAACTTGTTCTTTAAGTAACTTAAAACTCTACTGACAGGATCCCCATTGAGAAACAAGTCAATGCACTCGCCTTCACAAAGGTATGGTGCAGGAGGTCACTTGCAGAGGCTCGCTGCCGTGGGTCATGTTGGAGACAGTGCTGCAAAAATTGATGACCTTCTTCACTAAGACTGTCTGGAACAGCAGGCGTCTCCCCCATTCCTACTTTGAACATTATTTGGTAATTGGAGTCAAACTCTGCCCAGGGACGCTGCAACAAAACCTCTATTCTCTCACATGTCTCTTTATTTTCCATTTGCTACATAATAACAACAAAAGAAAGCTTTATTCCAAACTGGAATACACATATTTTCCAAATGATATTTTTTATAATGAGAATGTGTCAATGTGGAACCCTTCACTCTTCAGTCATACATAAACATACCTTTCCTGAAGACATTTCAACAACAACGCAGCCAACAGACCAAATATCTGCCGCTCTGCCATGTCCTTCAGTATTTGTCTTCATGAACACTTCTGGAGCCATGTACGCTACAACAAAATGTTTGAAACTTTAAGAACAGTAAAAGCAGCGCACGATTAATATCTTACGAATTAAAGATTTTCATAATCACTGGCTATGGGCTGAATCAGTCT